GTACATGAGATGTGTAGGTTTCCCTCGTACATGAGATGTGTAGGTTTCCCTCGTACATGAGATGTGTAGGTTTCCCTCGTACATGAGATGTGTAGGTTTCCCTCGTACATGAGATGTGTAGGTTTCCCTCGTACATGAGATGTGTAGGTTTCCCTTGTACATGAGATGTGTAGGTTTCCCTCGTACATGAGATGTGTAGGTTTCCCTCGTACATGAGATGTGTAGGTTTCCCTTGTACATGAGATGTGTAGGTTTCCCTCGTACATGAGATGTGTAGGTTTCCCTCGTACATGAGATGTGTAGGTTTCCCTCGTACATGAGATGTGTAGGTTTCCCTCGTACATGAGATGTGTAAGTTTCCCTCGTACATGAGATGTGTAGGTTTTCCGCTTGCTTTTCTTTAATTTTGTTATTTGGTAAATATTTATTGTACAAAAGTTTGAAATATATTCACAGTAGATTGAGACTAGATGTAAGAGAGGAGCTGATAAGAGTAGATATAAGAGAGGAACTGGTGAGAGTAGATGTAAGAGAGTAACTAATGAAAGTAGATATAAGAGAAGAAACGATGAGAATAGACGTAAGAGAAGATCTGATGAGTGTAAATGTAAGAGAGGAACTGATAAGAGTAAATGTAAGAGAGGAACTGGTGACAATAGTTCGTTTAAAAAAAAATGGAGTTTCAAGAAAATAATTATGGATAAAAAGGGGTTGAGCGTTGAACATGTACATGTGCATATAATAAAAATTATATAATGACCTCGCCAACATAATGACCTACCTTGAGATGAAAGCAGTGAGGTTAATGACCTACCTTGAGATGACATCAGTGAGGTTAATGACCTGCCTTGAGATGACAGCAATGAGTTTAATGACGTACCTTGAGATGACAGCACTGAGGTTAATGACCTACCTTGAGATGACAGCTGGGCGTTTAATGACCTACCTTGAGATGACAGCAGTGAGGCTAATGACCTACCTTGAGATGACAGCTTAGCATTAAATGACCTACCTTGAGATGACAGCAGTGAGGTAATGACCTACCTTAAGATAACATCAGTGAGGTAATGACATACCTTGAGATGACAGCAGTGAGGTTAATGACCTACCTTGAGATGACAGCAGTGAAGTTAATGACCTACCTTGAGATGACAGCACTGAGGTTAATGACCTTCCTTGAGATGACAGCAGTGAGGTTAATGACCTACCTTGAGATGACAGCTTAGCATTAAATGACCTACCTTGAGATGACAGCACTGAGGTTAATGACCTATCTTGAGATGACAGCTTAGCATTAAATGACCTACCTTGAGATGACATCAGTGAGGCTAATGACCTTCCTTGAGATGACATCAGTGAGGCTAATGACCTTCCTTGAGATGACAGCAGTGAGGCTAATGACCTACCTTGAGATGACAGCAGTGAGGTTGGTTGGGAGATAGCTGCCCCTCCGCCTCCTCCCCCAGCATTGGGGTCCACTCCTGCTTCCACTTCTGCTTCCATAGGTGATGTACCAAACCCGTGAAAGGAGCCAGCGCCAACAGCTTCCGCCGGCATGGGGTTGTTGATGTCAGGACTGGGGCCGATGGGGGGCAGTGGGGGGAGGGGTCCATTCACCATGTTTGGGAACGGATGTGCGCCACCTTGATTTGGCGGGAGCGGGAAATAGTTAGCGGGTGGGGGAGGGGGGTAGAAATTCGTTGGTGGTGGAGGGTAGCTGTTACGTGGCAGGTTGTAATTTTGTGGAGGGGCGTAATTTGGTGGAATATAACCTATAGAAATAAGAGAACTAAATCAACTCATAAACTCAAAGTTTTTGCAAAATTCAAACAAAAAATTCACATAATGTCATTGCATAAAGTTTGAGATGGGAATTTATTTCTTCAACTATTTGAATATGGTAAAAGTAATATCCATTTTATGTTAATGTAGAAAGGGGTTGAGTTGGGGCTGTGGGAAGGAGTTGAGTTGGGGCTGTGGGAAGGGGTTGAGCTGGGGCTGTGGG